ATTATTTCAAGACATGTAAAGCATTTTTGCTCGTTTATGTGGGCCGTCCCAAGCATGGTTGCAATGTGTTCATTGTCAAACTCCAAAATCAGATTATTTTTAATTCTTAAAAAACGCCATTATTTTATTTGAAAAAAAATAATAAAATAAATTATATATATATATATATATATATATATATATATATACATATATTCATGGATTTCAGCAGTCCCATTTGACAAACTTACGCACCATGAGCTAAAACAAATTGAAGTCTGGCAAAGACATTACAGGTGATGGCATAAATAAAATGCTGAACATGCAATAGTAAAGTGAAGTGCTTTGGAAGTAAGATATGTTCTGTGTTAAGGCTCTTACCTCCAAACAGGCCAAATGAATGTCCTTTATAATGCATTGAGAGCCAGACAGTACAGATTGTTTCAGAAGCAGACAGCTTAACTCCAAGGTGGCAAGACGCATCTTTCCATCTGAAACACACAAACACGTTAGGTTGTGATGACGTAGATCAAACCCATTAGGTGCAACTGTTCTAATTTTAAAACTGAATCAAAGTGGTATTATGTAAAAGCAGACCAAACACGTGACAGTTTATATTATGCAATTCATTTCAGAGCATCTCAAGAGGAGAAAAATCAAGCAAACATGACTTAAAAAGGGAAGTGTGGGGCATTAAAATAGCTCAGATGTGTCTTGTGTAATTACGGCAACAGCCAAACAACCATGTTAGCAGACAAAAATGCAGCAAATGAAAGAGAAAATCTGTGGACCTAAAGGAATGAGATGTTTTGCTTCTTGTAATGCTAGTATCACAATGGACACTGGCTAGAAATGTCAAAAGAGAATGAATCATACAACATGAGGATAACAGCTCATCGTGTATATTGTGTGGACTCAATCAGTTCTACATTTTAATCCTAAGTATGGCGAGTATGTTAAGTATGTCAACATTCAAATGTCACAACAATTACAGGAGCCCCAGAAGGAGAATTCAGCTCCAATTCCTCTTAACAAAGGTGAAAGAGATCAACGGTCAGAGGAAATTGGTTGCAACTTTTGTTACTCAAGGCTGTGGTAAAGGGTACAGAGCTAAAGAAACGTGCATCAAATAACAAGAGACACTTCACTAAGCTTTAGCCCACTTGGTTACGATTGCTCACATTAACTGTTGCTTTTCAAAAAGTCCCATAGAAATATACTGGAGATTTCTGTAAACAGCAAGATTTTTAGTAAAATGTGCTCAGAAAAGTGGAAAAAATTAAAGGGATGTTATTCTGACATGAGCTGGAAAAACTGTGATGTAGCAAAGCATTTTTATCTGCTGTTTTTTTTTTAATTAAAAAAAAAAAAAAAAGATTAGTAGATCTTTTCAGCAGTAAGAAAGGTCATTTAAGAGCAGCATTGTTATTGTTAAAACTAAAACTATTACAAATCATTTTAATCAAAATAAAGCTGAAATTAAAATATAAACATTTGATAACAAAAAATTGATGTCACCTCGGCTACTAACCAAAATAAAATAATTAACTAAAAATACTAAGAAAACTAAGTTACGAAAATGATTCAAACTAAAACGAAAAATAAAAAAAAAATCACAAAAGCAAACTAAAATTAAAATGAAAAGTCAAAACAAAAGCTAATTCAAAATATTAATAAATACTGTAATATTTAATAAATAATACTAAAATTGCACTGGTTCAGAGACGAAAGAAACTGTCTAGAATAATTTGCACTGATAAATCACGTACATTGAAATCAGATATATTTATTAAGTACACAAGAAAAGAAAGTAGGTCCATTTTGGATTCCATAAAGTCGTTAACTACTTTAGTTTTTTTTTTTTTGATTGTCTTTTTATATTGCAGAACAGAACATACTGAACATACATGGAACATTAACTATATACAAAACCAGGGTTTGCTTTAGAAAGAGAAACCACTTTAGTTTTTGACAAGCAACAAGTTCGATGTATTGAAACCTCAACTGACATTCACCAAACAAAGACACACAGAAGAAGCTTTGTTTAAGCTGTGTGTGTGTACATCAAAATGTTGCACAATCACTGTGTTAAAATACGAGTAAAGGACTACTCTGAATAAACAGTGAGTGCTTTGGTCTACACAGTCAAGTTCAGGCACACCAATGGAATTTGCAGCGTGTGATGTTTAATGAGCATGTCTAAGCAGGTGAGGGATTATATTTGGAATCAGTCTGTACAGTACAGTAGAGTGAGAACGTGCAGGTGAGATGTGGAGGATGTGTGTGTTTGTGTGTGTACCTGGCTGAGCAGCCTGGCTCATGATTCGGATCACTCTTTCCACCAACACCTGACTGTAAGAGCTCCTCTCTTGATTTGGCATGGATAGCTGGATCCTCTCTAAGAGCTCCAGGTTTATACCTGCACATGCACATATAAACCAACAAGAGATAAAGAACAGAATGTTGGAGCATGACGTTGCCACTGTAAAGCTGTCAAAAATTGTTTAAATCATGTAACCATATAACCATTGTATTACAGTATTAAGTATTATATTACCTTACTAAGTAAGAAAACATGCTTATATGTAAGCATTTTGAAAGGTTGGACGTAATGTCTTTAAAATACAGTAAAAACAATTATATTGTGAAATATTATAAAAATGTAAAATTCCTGCTCTTGTTTTAAATAAATTTGAAAATGTAATTTATCAGTGTGATGGCAAAGATGGATTTTCCGCTAAATTCAGTTAAATATTTGATACAAAAACCCTTTCATATCTATTACCATAATTATCCATTTATTTTGAGTGTGTAGTTCGAGACTGTTATTCCTGAAGAAACAAATGAGATACCTTTACTGTGAGACATGGCATACAGGAGACAAAGCACAAACAGAGCCTGGTAATCCTCTGTGTCACAGTCCAGTGCATTATACAACATGTCCAGAAAGGGCCTAGAACAACAAACAAGAAGAAAACAGCTATTCTTTGATTCTTCGCTGGAAATCTTGCAAAAATATTAACAACAGAACAATGTGCACAACGTGCATTGCACAGTTTGAGATGACATGCTGTATTCATTGTGTTGCAAATGCGAAAGGCATTTACTAGGCAAGCTATTGTCTATAAATCATGCCAAACTGAGACTGGCTTTAACAAGTACTCATATCCAGACTAAACGCTAGTTACCTCCCTCCCTCCCTCCCTCCCTAACTAAAAATATTCTCCACAGGTGTAAACTCTTCTTCTTAAGTATCAAATCATGTCCATGCAGAGTATTCCTAAGATTCCTCACATGCATGCCAGGTACTTGGGATAGAGAAAACACATTAATATTGCTTTTGAAAGGCTTGTGGAACAGTCTGAACACATCCTTGGCCCTCTTTCTGTGGAGAACGCCAATCTAAAGAGGGGAGCTTTGCTGCACTTCAATGAACTAAGCATAAAAAGCCAATTGCAGGTTCACTGGTTCAATGATAACACCCTTTAACAATGCTGACACTCATAAAGCACAATTTTGGACTACAATACAGTTTTAATGGATGTTGCTTCTCAAGTTTCTCTTCAACTAAAAGTTGGAGCAGCATAGATGCATCTGACCCTTAATGAAAATGTCACAGGAGGTTAGCTTAATCTGACAAAAATGATTTGTGGACATTCTTAAAAATGTAAAGTTGTTCATATATGCATTTTTCAAGGCTAAAAAGAGCTACGTTTTCTTCTAGGTCTGCGGTTAAGGTTGCTTGTGTACCTGCTCTTTTGTCCTTCAGATCGTGCCGCGCTCTTCTCCTCGTCTGTAATGTTCTGTTCAGTCAACGTGGACACTTCAGAGATCCTACATTTTTCCATCACCACCATCTCAATTTCTGCAAAACACAAACACAACACAGAGAGTATAACAGCAGAGCTGGATTTTGGCATTGTGTATATCAGATGTCAGCCATGGAAGATCCCCGCACAAAGCTGATCTAAGCTGTCAAAAGTTAGACTAATGGATTTCCCTTGAAATGATTATATACCTGCAGACATATCAAAAAGGGAAACCACTTGGTTGCATTTAATAACTTTCAAAACTGAATCTAACAGCCCAAACCACAAGGGAATGTTTTCTAGAATTTTATTGTAGTGACCACCAGATTGAATTGTAATGTATTTTTTTAAACATATTTGGCACTGATTGTAAGGGGGAAATCTGCAGAGTTCCGCAGAACATATTATAGATTATGTATTAAATATTTATGCGTGAATTTGTGGACGCGCATCGTGGAGCTAGTGCAAGACATGCATTTGTGGTTAAAGTATATACATTTTAGGGGTTGAACGACTTCTGATTTTTTTAAGTCGACTTTTATGTGATGAAAGTCGAGTCGAAGTCGACTAGTCGCTGATGACGTAATTAATGAACAAATAAGTCTGGAGCTGAGACTCGAACACCTTGTGCACAGCTATGGCATATGACACAGCGCTGCCCACATGACTACTGCTCCTATAATAGCTCATTTTTATCAGTTCTTTTGTCTTTAGGTCGTTATATTTCTCACAGATTTCTGCTCGTTCTAAATCAGATACAGATAAAGTAGCACAGTAAAGATTACATTCATATGAATGCATTAGTGAGAGTGATTGCGTGTGTGAATTAATTCTACCTGGCAACGTCTCTCTACTAGAAGTGAAGCTGTGGGATTTGGTTATTAAGAAATATATGCGTGAACTTTTCAGTTTCTAAGCTATTTTATTGAGAAATCACAGAACAGTGTTGACAATACATTTATGCGCTTAATAATTCTGTGTGCTCGCGATCTGCACGAGACGAACTGTACGCGCTACTGTCTGAAGCCTATGTGTGTGCGTTACCGTGCAGCAGCGCATTAGATTAGAACGTCGATTAACTTACCTGTACAATAAGCTGTTTAAAACGTGCATTCTCCCATTCAATTTCGAGCATCCAGTAATATAATCACACGTCTTGTGGAGTGCTTTCAGAGTATGGGGTGAGTAAATTATCAGGACATTTTTATTCTGGAATCCTTTAAACTAGCCACAAATTTTAAAAGTTACTTAAATGAACATCACATAACTGGCTGTGTGTCAGACGTGGGGAAGGACGACTGAAGGAATGAATCACACAGAGGAGTGAATACGACAGGAGACAGGGCTTAGCTCACTTTCCCTCTCATGTCTGACAACTCCCAACAAGATTAAGGAGACACAATAATGTCTACCAAGGTAGAAGAGGGTGGGGGTGAGGTTTTGCCCAATCGGAGAGTTGGCGAGCACAGAATGAATGTGGAGCACAGTGACTGTGTCCAAACACAGAAATGACGTGACAAGGTGGAGTGCTCTCACAACTGGCAAAACATAGTTTAGCCAAGTAGGACATGCTGCTGGATCAACACTGCCATCATTGTTGGTCCTGGAACAACATTGCTAAGAAACAATCAAAGACCAAACCCTAACCTATCCATGAAATTATCTGGAAATAATTAGAACGTTGTTCAAATCAATAACCCCAAGGCATTAAGTCTAAAGGCCCTTGCACACTGAGTCCAAAACTTTCATCTGAAATTTTACACACGTTAAAAAATAAATACGATCTCACATTGTGTCAATCCCGTTTACACACTGCCTCCGAAACATTCGTCTGACATAAAAAAATTCAGATCGGGTTCGATTTTCTACGTTTTTTGCATCCGTAGCAAGCATTTTGAGAGGTGTTTTGACAATTCAGAGCCACCGTGCAAGCGAATGCCAAAATCCAGAATGGGGTCTGACAAGTTGATCCACTTCTTCTCGCTGCACAAAGCACTGTATAGGTCCTTGCACACTGAGTTCACGGAAATTGGTGGTCTTCTTTTTAATATGTGGCTCTATCGCTAGCAAAGCATCAAACTGAGCCACTGACATCCTGAAGTAAACTTTGAATTGCATAGGATAATCCCACAGCTCCTTGATAAGGAGGTGGAACTCTCCTTGGATTGGATGATGGATCCAACGTTTCCTGTTTCTTGTTCTCTTTTTAAGAAGAGAGAGGACAACAAAATCATCCTCACTACTTGAAGACTCTTTTTTGTATTGTTTTGCGATTTTTTTTGCAACGGATTAATTAATACGCATCAGACTCAGTGTGCAAGGTTTCTGTGCGTGACAAATTTTTGGGATGACGAATACGAAAAAAACACATACGAAAATTTCGGACTGTGCAAGGACCTTAAAAATAAAATCTGATTGGTTGATAGGATTATTGCTCCAATCTAATCTATATCCTACTTGGGTAAATCACCATAAAATGTATCCTTTTGTATTCCACGGAAGGAAGTCAGTCATATGGGTGAAATTTCCCTTTAAGCCTCACCATAGATTTGTGTGAAGTTCTACTGTGGGACATTTTATGAACTCAAATCGGCACAGCTGTTCGGTCAGTTTTGAGAGCAGAGCCACAGCCGAAGTGTGGTGTGGTGTGACCCAAAGAATGAAGGGTCAGTCAGTCATGCTGGGACATTCATCTAATGCTACTCACCTTCCTTGTCCCCACTTGTCCTGCTGGCCTTTGAACTAGCCTCTATACCTTTAGCCTTTTCCTTCTCTTCTTCTGGCCCTTCCTCTGATCCCCGCTCTTCCTCCTCTTCCTCGCCCACATTCTTGTAGTTGGGCCTTTTCTGGGTCCTCTTCTTCCCACGGTGACGACTCATCTCCAGAGAACGCTCCAGACTTTCTGTGGGCTTGGTGAAGCGACGAACACGGGCATTGCTCTAAAATGAAATGACCAATGGATGAGGCGTATGACTAATATGTACTCTGTTTGATACTCATGAAAAGCTTTCTTCTTGGGGATAATAATAATAATTGTAATATTGTTATTACTATATTGATTCCTAATCTTATTTGTTATTTTATGATGTTATTTATTATATATATATATATATATATATATATATTATACTTTTGGATCTCCAAAAAGCTTTTGACTCAGTAAATCATTCAATAATCTTAGATAGATAGAGTGTCATGGGTTTTTCAAGTAAATTGATAGCCTGGTTAAACTCTTATTTAAATGGGAGAGTTCAGAGGGTAGAATTCGATGGGATACTTTCTGAGGAAACAATTGAAAAAATGGAGTCACTCAGGGAATTGTTTTAGGCCCTCTTTTGTTTCTCTTATACATAAATGACATGCAAGCAGTTTGTGATTGTAATTTGTTTTTATATGCTGATGATTCTGCTATTGGATTCAGACAAGGATGTTGGTAGGATACAAGTGAATTTAGGTGAGGAGCTTTGTATGGTAAGAGACTGGCTTTCTGAAATCAAACTCTTGTTGCATTTAGGTAAAATGAAATCCATATTATTTGGGTCTAAAAATAATTTGAATAAGGTTTCTAAGATGTCTATTAAGGTAGGGATTGTTTAATATCAAACAGAACCACCGTTAATTATCTCGAATGTGTTCTTGATAATGATTTAAGTGGTGTAATATGGCTATTTTATTTAATTTATATTTGTATTATGTTATACAGATTTTTTTTTATATAGTTTTTTTTTCTTCCTTTTTCTATGCCAACTAGAGAAAGTACTTTAAAAGCAAATTCACAATTTAGAGGAAACACAGAAACTTTGTCTTTTAAACATCAATACGCTTTATTAGATATTTAAATATGCAAATTGTAATATTTAAATATGATATTTAAATATATAAACAATCCATAACTTTTTCTATTAAAAACAAAAAGCAATAGCTGCTTTTACAACGTCTGCAGAACTTAAAGAAGCAGTGAAAGGAAAACAGCCTCTGGCTTCTCAGAAACAAGAACCAGCTAAGACAGGAAACAGCTGCCAAACAGTTGAGGACACACATGGTAAGTGCAGCACGGACAGCAGTGATGTTTCCGAGGAGCTCCAATAACTCACACGACGTGACAAGCACTAGGCAGTGCTGTTGGGCATAACACAAAAGGACTCCCAACCTCATTTACGACAACCGCACAAGAGATAAGCTGTTCATTCTCAGAACAGCAGGAAAACACTGTGAATAATCACCTGCTCGTGGTCTCACAGTTGCACTATTGCACCCTGAACCAGTCTGCTTTTCAAAGAACGCCTGCAAGGATTCAAAGAACCCACCTCTACTGTTTCGATATGTGAAATGATGTTCTCCATCTACAGTTTCTCTTCAAGTTTAGAAAGCAGCTTTAAGGAACATAATGTGTCTGGCAGCACAAGAGTTAAAAACAACTCTCGACAAAAAAACAGGACCACAACAGGTCACAGTGACACGGTGCGAAGAACATGAGCTCGCAGCTGAGAAGTGGAGCACTCAGTAGGATGCCACACTTGCAAAAAAAAAGAGCCATCTGTGGTCTGCTTGTGGTCACAGACTTAATGAGTGAATTCTATTCAAAGTGCAAAGTATATCGTCAACACTGAGCTATTTACGAGAAAGGACTAGATAAAAGGCAGCTGATCAGCCTTTGTGATGACCTCACTCTTTGTGCCTCTGCTGTCAAGATAAGCCACACATACATACATACATATATATATATATATATATATATATATATACACATCTAGGGGTTTACTAAAGGCTAAAGCGTGGTCGTATGACATGCGTTGCATCCCCTCATATATGTGTGACATAATTTTAATCAAAACAACAGATCTGTGACATCAGACTGATGTATGTTGCACTGATGTGAGCGTACCTGTCACCTCAACCCACCCAAATGACCAAGCTGCATTTGCCGAAACGCTGAATTGTGCTTGTTTAATCTCCCAAAATGGAGTCGCTAAAGCATGCCACCAGGCTACAGGTGCGTTTCCAGCAAACTGCGCAGCAGGTGTGCCTTTGCTAACACATGCACCCTGCTTGTTGTGCAGTATGTAAATCGTATAATGAGAAAACAGAGGAAGCTTCTAATACGGTGGCGGTTTCGCCCTTCATCTCTGCACTACATAAACTTCATACTTCCTGTCATCTGCACAAGGACCTGTTTGAAATCCTGATCTACACACCCGACCTCTCTGCCTGGTCCCTTCTATGCTCATCCTCTACCTGTGGCTTGTGGTGAAGGAAGGTCATGTGATATGATGTACTGTATGTGTGTGTTTGGGTGGCAGAGGCTTGCTGGTAACACACAGGCACTAGCATCTATTTCACAGTCTTTACGGGAAAAAGAAAGTAGGTTAGAGGCGGTGCGGTGATGGTGTAAGGCAAATCGCTGTACATCAGAGCAACGAGAGCCACAACAAAAGATAGACAAGAACTTTGCATTTACATAAGGATTCCCACCGGCTTCCTCAACCGAGCTCTTCACAACACAGTCCTACAACAGACTATGTGCTAACTATAAATTTAACTGCTGATGGTTTGTTCAATTACCAAATTTTGGTTTACCTCAGTTTTGGCATAAATTCAGAACTTGGAAAGATAAACATGAAACTTGTGCAGTTTCATAATTTAATATCAATAATTTGAAATTAATCTCATAACTATTTTGTAGCTGATGCATTCCGTTCATAAAGGGGAAAAATGGTGTTGGCTTACATAGTGAAATATATGTGCATTGTGGAGTGCAAAAAAAACTTGTCACACCAGTATAAAGTCAATAAAGAGCTTACATTTGAAATCTTGATATTGCTTACCAGTGTTTCCTAAACAATGCTGTTTTTGCAGTGGGAGAGATTTTGTCAGATGTTTTTAACCGCTGTTATCTGATGGTTTTCATTGTACAAAAATACAATAATTCATACTTGTCAGCTTTAATAATAAAATTATGCAATTCAAAGAGTACAAATGACTTTACTTTTCTTAAACATCCTATCTGGACTTGATTTATAGATGAATTACAGAATGAATCAATATAAATAGCAAATGTAATGCGTTTAAACAGATAACCCTACATTTAACCAATTGAAGCAAACTACTAAATCCACATGCTTATAATGCATATCCACATATATGTACACACACACACACACACACACACAGTCACACATAGGCTACATTATACAGGGGTGCACATAAGGGGTGTGCGACCAAAATAAAAAATGCAATGTATAAATATGTTCAGACCGCTCATTTGCGTACCGACATTGTTGACAGCTGTTCATGCTCAATCACTGTTTTAGATCGACTAACTGTAATATTGTATAAGATTTCCTCAAACTGAAAGCATAAATCTAGGCAATGCGCTGCTGGTTTCAAAGCAAAATGCAAAACTGTGCCATTTCTCACTTACGCTCTTCACTCGGCAGAGCTAAACCCGGCAACGCATATACTTACTAGCAACCCGCCAAAATAAAAGCTTGCTGATTTTAGATTTGAAAATAATGAAAATTAATTTTAAAAAAGTTAATATCAGCATTGTATTTTTAAGTGTACTATAAACTAACTGTATTTTTATTCTATACTCAAATTATTTTTAAATATAATAGTATTTTCAAACGGATTATTTTGTTTATTATTTTGTTTATTTTATTAAAATACAAAATAAATAAATGCAATAATACTATTATCATTAATAATTATTTTATTTTTATAGTTATATTTAATGAGTGAGTCACACTATGTGCAGTTTGAGTACCAAACCAAATCTCCAAGTGCTCTCATGAGAACCAGACCAAAAACTTATGTACACCCCTGTACATAAACATATACATATATATATATATATTAGGGATGCTCCGATCGATCGGCCGGAGATCGGTATCGGCCGATAATCACATTTTATGACTCGATCGGTACTCACTAACTTGGCCGATCTCACGAACCGATCGAAAAAAAAGCGAAAAAATTAGCTATTTGTCGTGTATGTTTTGCATGATGATATGATGAATGGAAGGTTAATTTTTAACAGCAGATTCAGTGACGTTAGAGCTGATCTACGCCTCACTGCACGGGAACCGGGGCTGATCGCGGCCGCTCTAGTCAGTGCTTGTGTTTATCAGTCAGCCACGGCACGTTTCTGACGTGGCTCTCCACGCTGCTTGGCTAAAAATAGTCTTTTGTGAGGTGTCACAGCGTGAAGGACGGAACAAAACCTCGTCGGAGCCGTAAGGGATAACGGTAACATAATACGCTGATCGTGGGCTGCTCTTAAATGAACATTTATTTATAAAACAAAATAACTTCTTTGGCCATATTAGCCTACTCAATAGCATTAACACAGGCTTTACTCCTTTCCAACTTTATCTGGAATGTCACCGTTTCTGTCATTGCAACTTCCCGATCAGGCAAACGAACACACACACGAAATCGTCTGCCTCATGAAAAAAAATGTATTTAAAAAAAAAATGTAGTTAATATTTGCATCATTTATGATTTATTTTATCCACCCGCAAAAAATCAGAATGCATTTTTTATTACCCGACCCGCGGATTATCTGCAGCACCCGTGGATATAGGAAAAGCAAAACAAGTTTGCTGCCTAAATCAGACAGATTTAATGAAAATGCTAATTAATTCTCTGGCAGCAGGAGGTTCTTTAAAGCGGGAGAAACAGGTTTTCCCAGTAACGGCTGTACACAAAGCAGCGCTGAGCTCACAAACGCTGCTTTATCAGGCATATAACATGCCAGATGAAATGAAAATGACATCAAAAATTTTTTAAAGCTAGTCTTCCTTCAGAAATACAGTGATATAAAAACACCCGCACCTCGTTTAGATTTTTAAACGTGCAGTACCTGCTCATGTTTATTCAACCAAGCCTTTTGGAAAATCCGTCAGTTTTGATATTGTGGCAACACCTTAACCTTAACTGCGTTTGTAGCCGGCGCCATAGCCAGACTGATAAACAAACACAGACCGGAAGTGTACTTCGGGCCAGGCGCTTACGCCTGATGAAACCGTCTATATAAAGCTTGACGCATCAGAATCGGCCGATCACCATGACAAGAAATCGGTACTCCGTATCGGCTGCACAACTCCTGATAAAGAGACCAAAAAATGCAGATGAGCTGAAGGCCACTGTCAAAGAAACCTGGGCTTCCATACCACCTCAGCAGTGCCACAAACTGATCACCTCCATGCCACGCCGAATTGAGGCAGTAATTAAAGCAAAAGGAGCCCCTACCAAGTATTGAGTACATGTACAGTAAATTAACATACTTTCCAGAAGGCCAACAATTCACTAAAAATGTTTTTTTTTATTGGTCTTATGAAGTATTCTAATTTGTTGAGATAGTGAATTGGTGGGTTTTTGTTAAATGTGAGCCAAAATCATCACAATTAAAAGAACCAAAGACTTAAACTACTTCAGTCTGTGTGCATTGAATTTATTTAATACACGAGTTTCACAATTTGAGTTGAATTACTGAAATAAATGAACTTTTCCACGACATTCTAATTTATTGAGATGCACCTGTATATACACACATACACATATTCCCATTATATTTGCTATATGCTATAAACAACATTTTCTCACATGAAATACAATACAAACCGGGATCTTACAGCATAATGATGTGTTGAGTTTTGCAGACGCATACAGAGTTTTGTTTACAGTACATGGCAGCACGGATATGCATGTGATCAACAGTTTCGTGCAAACCAAAACAAATGTAGCAGTCAGCAAAATGACTTCATATCACAGCACTGAACGCAAACTTAATGTCGCTGTCATGGTCTATTTACCTTCAACACAGTGCAGTTTATATGATCTACAGTACATGTTTACATCTTCAGCTGTTTCATTTAGAACTTAAAGATTTGCAATTTAACATTTGACATTTAAACAAAAATGCTTTGCAGGATTTGTTCGATACAATGTGTTCAGTTTGTTGTATTGAACAAATCCTGCAAAGCATTTTTGTTTAAATTGATTTGAAATTGCAGTCGCACAAGTAGCACTGGTTTAGGGAAGCTGGGTTTGACAGATTACCGTCAGCTTGTAAAAAAGGGTCTAGTAGAGCAAGATGTGGTTAAGCCTGAGAGGTGAGACACAGAAACAGACCACAGAAAGAGCCAGAGAATGGGAAAGAGGAAATGGCTTTTGATAATACTGACACAAATGAGAAGAGAGACCATTTCCCTGAAGAGGCCGCTTTATTGCCACTTTCATTATTTTTTATTTTTTTTGCTGATGATAAACATACATTTATCAGAATAATACAGAGTGGTGTACTGAAGCTTGTCTACGATTACCAGAGCACTTATTAATAACCATTCTAGGAATATATCTTTGACCACATCATTATCTGTCAAAATTAGATTTCTTTTTTTAAAGGGTTAGTTCACCAAAAAAGGAATATTCTGTCATTAATTTCTCTCCCTCATGTCGTTCCAAACCCACAGCCAGCGTTCTGACGTAGAACACGAATACACTGCACCTTGTTTACAAGCAGAGGAACGCACACTTATATTTAAAGTAGGGCTGCACGATAAATCGCATGCGATATTTAATGCGCATCTTGTCAGAAAGCCGGTTCTTTAATCAGCAGTAAATCTCCATCACCTGCGTGCTTTCACATTGAGCAGCATTAACTACACAGAGCCGTTGTTCACTGATGAGCTGCGCAAAAAATCGCGCGAATATGAACGTGGTTTGGCGCAGCTCGTCAGTGAACAACGGCTCTGTGTAGTTAATGCTGCTCAATGTGAAAGCACGCAGGTGATGGAGATTTACTGCTGATTACGGAACCGGCTTTACTGATAAGATGCGCGTTAAATATCGCATGCGATTAATCGTGCAGCCCTAATTTAAAGCAAACAATATTAGATATTTGTTAGCTTTCAAAACTACCAAAATTAAATTATAAAATATTCTATTCATTTTACATAGGAAGTGATGTCATAGATTGCTGCCAGGGTGTTGCTAAGATGTTCATAGTGCATTTTAGTGTGTTGATAGGCTGCAATAGTGTTGAATTACACATCAAAGAATGAGTAATGGCAGAAATGAATAACTATCTGCTAGCATTGCCTAATACATATTACAACTAATATCATTGCAAAAACGTATATTCAAACAGTACTAACTGAGACGCTACTCACATGATAACAGTCTCAAAAAAAAAAAAAAAAAACTACAGTTCAAGCAAGCATGACATCCTACTCTCTCAGAAACAAATCTGACATTTAACTGATTTTGTTTTTGCCTGGTGCATGCTAACGACTCAACCAGCCAAACATTCGGGACGCTTTCATTGCAAATATTTGCATATGTGCATATGCACGGCCTGGCCCGGAATCTGATATCCAGACAATAAAAAAAACAAAAACAAGTAATGTGCTACAGGCTGAACTACACAATCAGTCTCACATCCACCTACATGCTGCAGTGATGTCTGCTGTGGAGAAGACATCAAAGCAGCCCATTAACACCACTGATATCGCTGCGCTCTTATCTGCCTGCCTTACCTCAGTGTAAATACCCTCATGAAAATAACAAGAGCAGAGGCAAACCGCAAAGAAGAATTCTCTTCTCCTCTTCAACCATCTCATCCACAGACTGGAGAAGTGTTGTTTTGTAACTACCTGTTTTCTAAGACGTTTATTTGTGGCCGACACATCTTATATTAAAAAAAGCCACGGTGAGGATGTAGCACTCGACTGACATCTTTTAGGTGATCAACAGAAGTGATAACATTTAACAAGCTAATTGGACACATGCGTGCGTCACTGTAAAACTGACACATTGATTCAATTTTCTTTGAGGTACAGGAAAGTTTGGCCAGCTTGATGTAGCCATTACAACTAATTTGACACCAAGTAAATATCAAACAGAGGCCGATAAACCAGAAAGAGAGAAAGAGATCTACCAAGTGTATGTACTTGTGGAACAGAAATAAATGCCCTTTAAAGGTATAGGGTAGGCGATTTCGGAAAGGCTAGCAATAGCAAGCTAGCTTTGAAAGCAAGAACCCAAACCTCGCTGCATAAAAACTGTGCAAAGCCACGCCTCCTCCAAATTACATGAACGTGCGCAGTAGGGATGTTCATTTTAACCGGTTAACCGTTAACTGACCGTAAAAATTTTGACCGATTAATACAATCAGTTAAACAGTTTTTTTTTCAATAATTTATCAAAATATTTAAAAAGGTTTGCTGCATAGTTAAAATACGCTATGTGTATAAAACATTTTTTGTTTTTTAGAGAAAATTCTAAAGAGAAAAAAAGTTGCGTATAAGTCGCATTTTATTATTTCATTCAGAAATAGGCCTAATGCCGACGCAAAATGTTTACAAACATTATAATAAACACTCTAAACATAACTAGGCTATTTTAGTTCCCCTCACCCCACAACAATCCTTTCAATTAACAGTATTTAGAAAAGAACAAGAATTAAAAATATAAGCTACACTGTAAAAAATGATTGTGATTTTAACAGTAAAAGACGGTAAAAATGTTACAGTAAAAACCTGTTAGCTGGTTAACAGTAAGTTTCCATACTATATTCGGTGAATAAATGTAATTACATTTAATGTGATTTTACAGTAAAATACTGTTAAAAATACGGTTTTTGGAAGTGAAAAAGAAAAGGTAATTGTATAATTTACAGAGAAAACTGTACTTCATATTTGATGTTTTTTTGTTGAAATAACATGTTGTTTCTTAGTTTTTTCTTTTGTTGTGTACACTAGGGTTTAATCTTACATCTAAAGTTGTTAAATTAATGTTTATTGCATTATTTCAGTATCATGCGTGTCACCATGATGGGGTTTAGTGTTTGTGTTAATGACACTGTGCACCTTCTATATATAAGTATTGCCCTCCTCAGCTCGTAGAAAAGCTGTTTGTGATGAGCTTTGGTTCATCATCCGCTTTCTGCCGTCTGTTTCCTTTTGCACAGCAAAAAAATGAACCGAAACTCTGCATACTAGTCTACTTGTTGCACAGTTTTTCTTTCATTTTCTTAATACATTTTTTAAGTAAAAATATATTTCTCGTATAGGCCTATTTATTCGTTATATATATATATATATATATATAGCCTAGCTTTATTATGTTTTTCTCCGCTCACAGTAACGCTGCAGGTGCGTGATGTGATATGAAGACCATGTGAATCCTCATGTTCTGTTGTTTGCTGCTTTTTGCGCATGTAAAATTAATCCCCGGGAAACAAATGTTAGTATTTTTAACGGGTCACAGACATTTATCCTCTCTAATTTAATTCAATTCTAATTTAAAATAATCTTGTCGGTTAATGGTTAATCAGTTAACGAGCATCGGTTGTTGGTTAGGAAAAATAACCGAAATGAACATCCCTAGTGCACAGGCAGACCAGACGCTAGCCAGCGACATGTGTTGGTCTCATTCACCGGTGAGAAAACATTACAGTAAAAAGCATATAATATTACAATAATAACGCCTTTCTTTCTTGCTGGAACGCACTGATGATATATGTTTGCAAACGGGGTGCGCAGAGGTATGCAAATACATATTTTGACAGGCAGGCAAGACAGCCAATCGTAATCTTCGGACCGAACATTTTGATTGGACAAACATTTTATGGTCCTACGCCTTCCACAGACGATATACATACATATAAATACATTTAGACCACTTAACTTAGTGATTGCTATCAGGATGTGAAGAGATTTTCAACCAGCATAACAAAAAAATGTTTTTGAAACAAATCACCTACCCTGCCTTTAAACTAAACTATATTCACATGTAGGCATGGGCCGGTATGAGATTTTGACGGTATGATAACCTTAAGCAAAAATATCACGGTTTCACAGTATCACGGTATTGTTGTTACAGCTCTAAAATGTGTTAATTTGAAATGTCTGGGTAAAAAAAAAAAAAACTGAACACAATATATTTTGAGCAACATACAGAATATTTGGAACACTAGTATTTGTTTATTTTTTCTTTGATTTGTTTCTGAAATGTGGGCTGTCCTGCAGCTTTTGATGTGGATGGTTGATTTGCTGCTAGAGCTACTGCTGCCCTAAAAAGAAGAAAAATAAAGACCGACATTTTTATTTAACCTAAATCTGTAATTACAGTTAATTTTAGTTATATAATTCATATACATATAATTTCATATGATTTATTTACATAATTTCATATACATAATTTGATTTAATAATAACCCCCAAAAAAATTTGAAGCAAAAACAGAATGTTCTGACTAGCTTTGTGAAATTATACTACATGCCTGAAAGAAGCAAACAGCAGAAGCTCTGAATGAGACGCAGATTCACTCTCTGACAGCAGGAGGCGCTTCTGGAACACCAG